GGGGGAGAACTTATGGTTGCTGGAAACAGAGCTTTAATCCAGATACTGCAGCCCCTTCTCCCCAAGCCACCAAGGAGGGCAGTCCTTTTTGCCAGCAGCTGTCTCCTCCCAGCAGTCACTCACCTGTTTTCCATGAGGTATCCACAGCTGGAGGTGGAGTGGGGTGGCCCTGCGGGGGTCAGGAAGCTCCTGTCCTGCCTAGGGAAATGTTGGAGCCGTGACTGTATCGGGGTTCCTGGGTTGGGGGACTTGATTCCAACTTGTCTGGTTTGATCATAGGCACTGGGACAGTCAAACAGATATTGGAGCATTACAATTCTCCGAGGACTTATGGCAGCACCCGGGGAGAACGCATCACAGGCAGATATGTTGTCCCCCCATCCAACCACCTAGACCAGAAGCAAAAAGCATAAACTCCTTCCTTTCTGACCACTGGTTGCTCCCATGCACAACAGCAATAACTGGAGAAGGAGTCAGTTCTGAAGAGGTAATACAACAGCTCAGGCAAATAGCTGGAACTGTGGGTGGTTGTGTCAGGGATTCTTGTAGGACAGATTTGGGAAAGAAAAGGAAGAAATGGGGAGAGAGAAGCACGTGACAAGTGTCAAGCCTGCTCTCAGCATCAGGGAACAGCACGAGGCAGAAGAAACAAGAGGCAGGAGCAGATCTATCTTATGCGGGGCTGACCTATCCGATCCAATAAACGGCAGCCTGAGCAGGATGCCACCAGCTGGTCCCCTGGTTAATTTGCATCATAGCACACCCAGCAGCCAGATCAGGTTGTTGTGATAGCACTTTATCATCAGATGATGCAGTACTACTTGTTTCATAGCAGCTCCTTTCCCTCCCCTGTGCAAGCTGTGTTACCTGGTGTAAAGGCACTGCTCGCCATTGCGGTACTGGAAAGGCTGCTTATGGCTGCAGGACAGCGTGGGGTCTGAGGGACTCTGGGGCTCCTTCTTAACCTTAGCAGGAGGACTGTGAAAAGCTACTGTGTGAGAGAAATGAAAGATCAAGTTAAAACCTTTCTTGTTTTTGGAGAGATGTTTACAATAGCCAACAACAAATCGGTTCAGATGCCACCACCTTGCACCTTGTTCAATTGGCTCTGAGGAAACAAAATACCAACAGGCATTCACTGGAGTTTCCTGAGCTCTGCCCTTGATTTAATAGGGTTCATACAGTACATCAGCCTTAAAGGAGCAGATCTAAGAGTGCTAATATACTCTGTGATAATCTAGAGCACTCTGAGAAGGATTTGGAGTGGGCAATTTCCTAAGCTGTTCAAGGCTGGAGCAGACATTTTCTGTCGTGTCACAAGGGGCAGCATGCATGTATTATAGTTTTCAACACACGAAAGCAAAGCTTTTCATGACTTGTTTCAGGTTTATACTTCAGCACTCAGGAAAAAGGCCAGTCACTTCTACAGGAGACTGATTCCTGGATGGGAGGCTGCCAGCTGGCACTCAGCAGCTGCCAATATCATTTCCAAATATAGGTTTCCCACTATTGAATCTCTTCTATGCTAACAATCCAGCATCTCTGGAGGTAGGACTGGGGAAACCTCTTAACCCCTCTGCCTATCCAAAACTCAAGTGATGGAACAGGAAAAAGAGAAATGGCTCTGCCCCCATTTTCAGTGCACTGGTCTCTGGTCATGGCCTGATGCAGATGAGGAGGACTATTTCTGGGCTGGTTAGAATTTCATGAGTAACAAATGTGGTTTGCAGTTTGCAGCACTAGGAAGTAGGATGTGGGTATTATTACTTCTTACACTTAATTAAATCAGTGAAGGAAGTTTTGCTCCCTGCTAGTTCCTTAGAAAAGCTTACACTGGCTGAAGGACACATTAAGCATCTTATGCCTTTGCCTCTGAGCTCTGCTACTGCTGTCAGGTCACTGGACTTAGAAAGGAAGGTAACCTGAGAAAGGTTCATAGATCTCAGCTTGTTTTCCAAACAAGCAGGAGACCTGCCCTCTGCATCAAAACTGTGAGCTCTTAATAAGGCCAACTCTGGTCCTTGCTTGCCTTGCTGAACATCCCACCTCTTCAAGCTGACACCATGCTGCTTGCAGAGTGGGATGTTCAGAGCTGTGACTACTGTTTTAAGGGAGGGAAGTTATCGCCTGATCTGTGAATAGCTCAGACTTTTTCTGGGTTTACTTCAGCACTAACCTGAATCACAGGCACACCTGAATGTATATGCAGCAGCCATCCCCAAGCCACCTCTCTCTGCATGCACAGGGCTAGTTGTCCCTTCAGAAGCACTGCAGCAGGCAGCCACCCACAGGGCTGGGGAAAGGACTGCAGGTGCCTCTCTGAGCTCAGGATGTTATGGCCACTTTCTATTGCCTACCGCACCCCCCCCCCCAAATTAACTTCTCAACATAGGAGAGAAAAACCCCAAACCTCATTCCTTTTGCCTGCCTTGGGTTTCAAGCCCATCTTCAATCCCTACCTCATTCAAGGACCCAAAGGAATCCAAACAGCCTGACAGAAATCAATATGAATATATCCTGTTGTTTCTGGCTCTGGCTTCTGCTCGGGGACAATCGGGTGTCCCATAGCCAGGCCTGAGGCTTCTATCAATCCTAGCAGAGTTCACCAACAGCTCTTGACACCATCCAGACAAGATGGGCGTGAGTTCACCCTCTCAGTGGGCCTGGCCCCCTCTTGGGATGGATTTGGTATCCTAAGCCTGACACTTCTGCATCTGTGCAAACAGTCCTGGCTCAGGGAGGAGTGGCAAGAGAAAGGGTCTTTCTGTGCCTGGAGCATCCCTTCCCCTTCTGTCTGCAGCAGCTCTTTTCAATGTACAGAGTAAACAGATATATAGAACCAGACTAAAACTGCTGATGTGTCAACTGAGCCTAGGAAAAAAAAAATTTGCTCTGTCCAGTACACTGAACTCCATTCAAGCCTCAAGAAGCTAAATGTGCTAGGAGCGGCCAACTCTTTCCGGCCCCTAATAGCTGGAACAGGCTATCGCATTACAACTGGCTCATTCATTCAGAGTGAAACATGGGACCAGCCCTCTCCTCAGCTCCAGGTCAAAGAGAGGAAGAAACAAATCGTATGACTCAGAGCAAGCCCAGCTGTGCTGCAGAGCCAAGTCCGGGGAGGGAGGTACACAAGAACCATCAGTAAAAGCACTTCGTTTTAGTTTTCATGGAGAAAAACAACAAAGGAGGAAGAATACTGCTCCCTGCCAGGCGGAGAGGGGCATTGTTGTGGAAAGAGCCCCAAAGCTAACTGCAACAGCTTTAAACGCACATCTCTGCTCTCAAGGAGCTGCCAGATGTGAACATGCCCAGGGAATGGTGAGATGCCTTCCTGTGGCCTTGACATGCCTGTCGAGATCCAGGCTTTGGCTTCCTGCAGCGGCTTGCAGCGTACGGCTATTCCAAACCGTATGAATTTCAGACCTGGAGTCAGGGTCAGCCCTGCATCAGCTTCCACGTGAAACGGTGGCGTGCAGTGAGGACAGGCCAGCACGGCAAGGGCAGATGGTGCTGCATGGCAGTTGCATGAAGGCTCCTGCGCAGATACCTGCACCCATGCAACAACGGGCTCCTTTGTAGAGCGGAGTGCTTTGACCAGCACTCATAGCTAACAGCTATGGTATAATTCGCACATTTTTGTGCAAACACGTGCAATAGTTTTGCTAAGAACAGAAAGGTCAGGCTGGCCAGCACATCTCTTCAGGGGGACTATGCCCTCACACCGTGGGGTGCAGCAGACAGGGCCACGGTCTCACGGCTCTGGGGGGGGGCAATGCCACAAATTTTACCTTTGATTGTCATAGTAATGCTTTTTTCTGGCATTTTCAGGGATGCCTGATTATTCACACACACGGCAGCTAGAGTATACATTCTTTGAAACCCCTCAGCATAAGCATTTGCACTGTCTGGGCATGGACAGTTAGCCTGTTTTTTGGTCACAGTCCCAACAACATAGGAACAAAACGAGCACCTGGGCCTCGCTGTGTGCCTGTGTCTCCCTCAGGTACCCGTTTGGGGCCAGGGTATCCTGCCCTCCTCCCTGGAGGCGCGCACTCATCCCCTGCTACTTACAGTTCTCCGAAGGAAAGTCAGGCACAAATTGCTCATCGCTGTCTGGAACCTGAGCTGCCGGGGGAGCAGAGAGAGAGGAGAAAAATTAGACTGGGCACTTTGCATGGAGTAATTAACAGTAAGGCAGAAATAGGTCTACGCAGGGAAGAGCTGAGCTTTCTGCTGGGATGCACTTTAGTGACTAGGGCTAGTTTCCTTTTGGGATTAATGAATCTGGTTCCTCTGCCTGCAGATTTGCCCCTTATCAGCCTACAGTTTTTCTCTCTCACCTTGGAAATAAAAAGGACAACAGCAAGTTTATTTGCTCAAGGTTCACATTTTTTTCTTAGAAACATAAAATGCAGGAATTTTTAAGCATTTAGCATAGCAAGAGCAGCTACCAACTGGTAAACCTGGCAAGGCTATGTCAAGATGATGAGAGGAATGGGAAGCACTTATGCTTTCATATAGAAGCCATCCTTGCGGTAGCTCCAGAAATAGTGGCTAAGCTAGTGGAATGAGCTACAATTTGTAAATCAGCAAAAGAAACCTGGTAGAGGGAAAGGCTGATTAATAGTGCCTTGCATGTCGGTATGGTTTTGCAAACAGGAAATACAAGAGGAAGTGCTCATAGAAATCTGACTGCAAACAACTGCTACTCCCCTGCAAACCAGTGCAGTAAAACCCATTTCTTGGGGACCTGCCTTGTGGCCGGCACTGTCAGCACCACTCCAAGAGCGGCAGCAAGGTCTGAGGTGTCTGAATGCTTCACAGACTGTCTAATAAAGACATCTGAAACACCCCAGACCTTGCTTTAGTTCTTTGAACAGCCTGCCTCACTGGAACGAGATGTTGCTGGATGTGATAAGCAGTGAAAGAGTTAACATTAGCATCTCAATAATGTTAACAAGCTTCAGGCTTACTGCCTCCTTTAGACAAGCTGGAGAGGCTCACTTGCATTTATCTGCTGGCATGGAAAGCCAGCAGCACACTGTTTATACATTGATGCCTCCTCACAAACCAGGGAGTTCTATTCATTAATTCTGATTTACTTGAAAGACTAGACTTTGCCAAAGCTGTAAAGCCCTCATGCATAGGGATTCCCATAGCATCTAAAACAGAGACACTAGGCGAGATAAGAAATCCTACCTCAGTGGGCTGCTCTGCTTTCTAAACCTACAGAAAATCAAATGGTGGCAATGACCTCTTTGGGTAGCTCTTTGCTCTCCTCTACAGTGGTCCTCGAGTTGGTGGTTGTCAGACAAGTTAGAGATGTAGCAAGCTGCAGTCCCACCTTGTGACCGCATGCAGAAGGCATTACCACTACCATCAACGTGGCAGATGGGCGCGCATGGCAAAGGCCTCTGCCTCTGGAGAAGATCCAGCACTCAAACATTGTTGCGTGCTGACTTATCTGATGACATCCATAGCATGCAGAGAGTAGAGCTCACCAGTTATTTTAAAGAAGTGTCCTGTCTATTGGGTGATGACCTGGGTTACAGGTCACTCATGCAGTAGCTTCAGCCTCTTCCAAGGACACAGCTCAGCCACTGGTTCTCAAAGGAATTTTAACTGCATTAAATACAAATCTTTTTCACAGATTCTAACTCGCTACACGCATGGAAGACAGTC